AAGAGCGTCCAAGTTCAAGGACAAGACATGAGGTGCATGCAGACACTCCATTCTCCAGGGAATGGTGAGGCCGGACTCAGTGCAAACACTGTCCTCAGCCTCAGGCCGAGTACCCAGGAAGTAGGCAGGCCCCCTGCTCCCCAACCTGGGATGCCTGTAACCTCGCTAACACACGGGGATGGGGGGAGGGGCAGGAGAAGCCAAGACCCTGTAGGGACCCCATGTGCACCAACTCAGGCTGCGCCAAGTCAGGAACTGTATAGCCCACAATTCTCAAAGGGCACCATGCCTGAATCTCTATTTCCATTTATTCTAGAGCCAGGCAACCTGCCAAGGTACCCAACTTCTTACACTCAGTATGTATCCTGAGAATGAATGAGCACTGAGGCTCCAGGGTGGACAGGGGGCCACACAGCATCCGGCCACTCAGCATGGAGCTGTGATCCGAACTCAGCTTCCTCAGCCCAGCAGGGATGCTGCACCAGCCACAGCACATGTCAGAGCTGACCAGTCACAAATCCTGCACCTTGCTCCCCATGCAGCCACCTGTGACACAGGTATGTCACACTCCGTGTCTTTATCACTAAGACCATAGCAGGGTCTTCAGGAAAACCAAGCCCTGCAGGCAGTCATTAATGATCCGAAAAGCAGCTCCCACAAAACAGGCCAACACTCCTTCCCTTACAGAAAGCATGCCCGTGGCTAGTGCAGGGCGGTCAGAGGGCCCTAGAGACAGCTCTGGGGATGAAAACTAGGGTCAAAAAGGAGCCAGCAGCAAAAATCCCCAAAAGGACAGAACTGAGAGGGACAGGAATCCTGCAAGATGTTGCAGAGCCCTCAGGAACACAGAGGACTTACTTACCTGCTCTGGGTGGACTTGCACACAGCAGGGACTCACCACCTTAAAGAGAGAGGAAACAGGTAAGCCACTGGATTCTCCTCAAAATACTTAATATGATAATCTAGTAAGATTCCGAATGGCTGGACTGGTCTCCAAACAAGTTCATAGTCAGAGTTGTCAGAGTTCGAGACTCGGGACGCTTAGTGTTAATCAAGTCTGAGTTTTTGCAAACTTATGGAAAGTCCCAGTCTTTTTTGAGAATTGTATGAAAACCATGAAGCTCCTCCCAGTCCCAAGAAAAAAATGCGCATTACTCACATCGACACACTTTCACATTCAGTTTCAAAGAGCTAGGGGTGTCTTAAGTTACAAACTTCCAAGCCAGCCTAAGCTGCTCCTCACAAGGGGTGTGGAGAACTCTGCTTGGTGGTCTCCAAGCTGCCTCCCCTTCTCACACCCACACCTGAAAGTTTGCATTCTCTACACAATAGACTGCCTTCTGTAGAACTACTTCTCCAAGCAGAACTGAGAACCAATTCTGCCTGTGGGGAGGGCAGTGTGGTTAGCTCACTCAGCACATGAGACGGGGTATGGAGGTTCCTTTGACTCCACCACAGCCTTCTGAAGAACAGAATTCATTGAGAAAAAGAAAAGTAGTAAGACCCAGCATGGGCCAACACTGGCATAGCGGTAAACCACGACATGCTATGGCTGGCGCACGTGGAAAGGTTCCAAACTTACATGGACAGACTTCCCTGAGTACACTAGGCCCACATGCGCCCATGATTGAAGCCTGCTGCGGGTGGATGGCAGTGCCAAGACCCGGTTATGGTTCTCTTCTCTCTCTCGTTCATGCGAGAAACTAATGAACTTTTTTTTAAAAAATGACCTTTAAAATCAAATTTTAGAATGACTTCAGTTTAACCCAAGGCAGAAGGGAAAGGAAGAGGCACCTGAAGAACTGACCCAACGGAGAGAAAGGCCCCACATGAGTGGGACGTCTGTCCTACCACTTACTAACCACAGGATCTTGGTCTTAAGTCTCCCTGGGCCTCAGTTCCTCATGGGAAAACTGTGAATCATCATAGTTCTTCACCGGGGAGCTGTGAAGAGTAAGAGCTAGTGTTTGAGAAGCTCAGAAGATGGGCTGGCAGCGTTCTCTGGCTGAACCAAGGAACACAGAGCTCCCCCTGGATGCAAAGGGCTGTCAGTGGACAAGAGGATCAGAACCGCTCCATGGTGCTCTGGGAAGTCGACTGGGATCAGGACTCAACACCCTGCACACTGCCTTCCTCCTTATCCTTCTCCCGCCTCGCCTCCTTCCATACCCCTGGCACTCCCATCTTTACAGACATTTCTGGACGTGTGCACAGGAAAGAAAAATCCCAGGGGTCTGACTAAATGTCCTTGTGGTTTGGCCTGGGCAGCAGCGTGACCCTGGTTCCTGCCGTGGAGATTATTTATAGCCCTCTTGCTTATCTTACTCAGAAAGTTCCTCAAGGAATATGTGACACAGGGTCACTCACTTGTCTGGGACATGTCATTGCTCCACCAGGATCCTGATTCACAGTCTTGGCTGGAGCAGGGGTCCTCCCACCACACACAAACACACACACAGAGAGCAATCGGGAACACACCTTCCTCACGTGTATGTCCCGGCTCTGCACACACATTGAGAGTTGATGAGTGGACGAGGGAATAAGTAAACAAGTATATAAAGCAAAAAAAAGGCAGACAAATGCCTTTGGAATTACAAGGAGTTGCAAACAGAACCTCAAAGGATGTTGGTGGCAGCTGGGCAAGGAGACTTCCTGGCTAACAGAGCACCCAAGCACAGCATCCCCTCAACACACGCCTGCATCGTGGGGCCCCGCTGCATGTGGGGCATGCGGGCAGGAAATGTGCCAAGAATCAGTCTCTGCCTTTAAAAGTCATCATCTGTAATCCAGGCAACAAAATAGTACTCAAAGATGAACAAAAATGAGCTCCCAAAGCGGGCGAAGACAGGGAGGAACCTTAATGCTTGCTAGGTGGGAGAAGCAGTCTGAAACACTTCGCAATTCCGTCTATGGCGTTCTGGAACAGGTAAAACTGTGGAGCCACAAGAAAGGTCAGTGGCTGCCTGGGGCTAAGGAAGTATGGGATGAACAGATGGAGCACAGAAGACTTTCAGGGCAGGGAAACTGCTCTGCATTTTAGAACAATGCTGGATACATGTAATGCACATCTGTCCTAACCCACAGACACCCAACACCCAGACTGAGCCCTAATGCAAACTACCAGCCTTAGTTAAAAATAATGTATCAATATTGGCTCATCAAATGCAACAAATGTAACGAACATGCCACAGGAATGCAAGATGTTTATATATGAGGGCTGAATAAACGGCCCTTTATTCTTCCATAAATTGGAGAGTCCCCAAAAATAATGTCTATTTATTTTTTTAAACATGCATGTTGTGGAAATGTGTTTATTGAGAAAATGAAAAGAAACGTCCTATGCAATGTCAAAAACTGGAGTTTGTTGTTTCCGTTTCTTTATTTACTTATTCCATGGGAGAAGAGGAGAATGAAAGGAAGGGAAATACCCCCAACAGAGTCTTCACACCAGGAACCACCCCAGCCTTCCCCCGCCCAGATCACAACACATGGGTGCACCGCTCAAGGAGCCTCGGGACCCAAACCAAAGACCTTCCTGTGTGGCCTCAGCATCAGAGTTCTGTCTCACCACGCCGCAGCAGCTGGCCAGCAACCACTATGGGAGTCAGTCTAGAAGCCAGCGGTGGTCCATACACCCCACATTCCCAGGGGCAGCAACACAGCCCACCTGGCCTGCTCCTGTGGTGACTTCCGGCAAGGTAATGAGGCGGCCTGTGAGCCAGGGCTGGGGTCCTCCCACCTGCCTCAACCTACCGATGGCCGACACACCAGAGGGGCTCTGCAATCCTCACAGCTGATCTCACCTACTCCTGCTGCTTATCCTGAACATTCTTACTGGTGCCACGTGCCAGTCCCTTACAAACGAAACTTACTCGTCTACATCCCCCATGGAGCTTAAGGTTCACTAACAAACTGGGTCAACCGAGCGGCTTGCAAGGGAGTACTCCGGGGCAGCACACCGCGAGCTCCACACCTCCAACCGGCATCCCGCCAAGCCAGGGCCTCTGGTCTGGGAGAGCCGGCCCTGGCCACGGCCAAAGAAGACCGGCCACTGCTGCCTGTCTGCACACCTGCCCCTTAGCTGCAGACCTCCAGCCTCCCCCGCCTCAGGGACCAGGTGGCCAGGGGAGGGCACTGCTGAGGGCCCAAGTGGGGACTGCACGGCAGGGCCAGGTTGCACTCTGCAGGCACAGCACGCTGACCCGCTTACTCTCCTCTTCTTAGATCCACCTCTGACTGACACATCCCAGCACCGCCCGGTTCTTCTGCTCTTCTCATAGAACAGAAAAGAACGCCTGGGTCCGGGTTGCTTCAGGTGGGCTTGGCCCTCCTTGGCTTGAAGGAGCTGATCCTTTTCAGCACCGAGGTTTTGAGGTATCAGTCCTGACTGCCTAAAAAAGCTGAAAGCGGATCAGGAAGCCCCCCAATACCACAGGGTTCAGGGGAGGTCCTGATCCCACCAGGAAACACGGAGCTATGTCTGCTCTTCTGAGCGTGGTCAGCATGGTGGGGGTCTGGGCGGCCCCCTGCCTCTCCAGAATCTGAGCCTGCTCAGGAAGGTGCACTGTAAGTGCACCTGGGAGTGTGAGAATTCTACGAGAGCGCGGCTGAGCTCCCTGCACCAAGGAACACCACAGGGCTCCAGGCTTACCCAACGTGCCAACGCAAAGCTGCATGGCCCTGTTTCCACGTCCTCAGGGCTTCCTCTTCAGGTCCACAACAATCTGGAAGACCGGCCAGCACCCACTGTGAGCACAAGGCACCGTGTGCCTGGGAGGGCCAGCCCACAGGTGGATGCCCGCAGAGGACAGACACCAGCAGGCCCAACTGTCATGCTCTTCTCCTGAGAGAAGCTGCTCCAGGATCACAAGAAGTGAAGGTGCAGCAGTGACAATGGTGGGACGGGGCTGGGCAAAGTGGCTCCTGGGAGCATCTACAGAAAACCTGAAAAAGGTTGTGGCCCAAGAGCCGTGGGCAGCGGGAAATGGGCCAAGAACGTGGGCTGAGAACTATGGTGGCAGGCAGCTGTGGGCCAGGAGCTGTGGGCCATGGGCTGTGGCACCCCTGTGACTCACCCCTCCCTGACGTGGCAGGCCCCTCTGAGAGGCCTGCTTCCGAGCCGTTTTATGGCCTTTCCGGCTCCACGTGGGGCCTAATCTACCGTTACCAAGGACAACAACAAACAAACACAGCCTTGCCAGCCCTGCACCTGTCTGTGTGGGCACCTGGGCCTGCTGGTGTCCAAGACCTCATTTCCAAGCCAGCAGCTCGCCATGACAGAAGTGGGAGAGGTGAGGGGTTTCACCTCAGTCCTGTGTCCCTGGGAATGTGTGAGTGGGTGTGTATGAGTAGGTGTGTGCATATGTGAGGTGGCATGAAAATGTATGAGTGTGTGGCTATGTGAAAGAGGTGTGTGATAGAGGGTGTGTGGAAGTATGAAATGGTGTAAGAATGTGTGTGCGTGTGTGCACGTGGGTAGGTGAGTGAGCTTTTGTGTGAACATGCGTATGTGACAATGTGTATGATCACGTGACAGTGAGTATGATTTAAGACTATTGTGAATTGCCACGAGTGTGGGGGGGGGCTGGCTGGATGAGGGTGAATGCGTACATACCTTGTGAATATGAGAGAGGGTATGTTTGAAACTACGTTTGTGAGTGGGAGTTTACATGTGGGAGCATCAGTGTGAATGCTCCATGTGTGTGTCTGTGGCAGTGTGTGTTCACGTGTCTCTGAATTGCAGGTCTGTGTCTGCAAGGTGGCATGTGTGTCTGTGAGTGTGCACACGCTGCAAGGTGGCGTGTGTGTCTGTGAGTGTGCACACACAGCAGAAGCTCAGCCCTGCAGCTCCATCGCCAAGGCCAACGTGCACATTCTGCAGGGACAGCGTTTTCCCTCCTG